CCCACGGCAGGTGCCATCCAGGGCCGCCTTCGGTGTCGCCTTGCCCCGGCGCTTTCCCTCAGGCAGGGAGGGTGTGGGGAGTCGGATAGGAGCGGCTGATGCAGGCGGGTGGAAACTCAGTCATTCTGGGGTAGTCAGCGTGTCCCCTTCCCAAACGCTGTTATTTGCGCAGGACAGGAGTCCTGTATCGTACAGGAGGGAGAGGGGACATGGAGGCTTCCAAAAGCAGCACTGGTTAGTCAGCAATAGCTCTCTAAATATTTTACGTGAGACTGAAGTGTGCAACTGCTTTTCCACTTACCACTGCTGTTATAAGGCATTAGTGAGGAACAGAGAGGTGTAGAGGTATGTCTAACTCCCAAGAGAATTTCTGCCTGCTCCCTTTTCAGCTGTATGGATTGTTGCTTGGAGGCCCTCATATGTTTACTAACTCTGATGCTCCCCCATTCAGCTTCAGAAAAAGATGCACAGTATCTGCATCTTTTCTTTGGCAAAGTCCTAGGAGCACAGCTGATAACACAAAAATCTTGGAACTGAGCATCTGCTATTTGAGATGCAGGCATGCAGCATGGGACACAGAAGTACTTTGCCTCTCCTTATTTTATGGCTTGGTTCCATGAACTGCTGAGAGAAGACAAACCTTGCTTGGTGAGACTCTTCACTTCTTACCTTATCTGTGTTTTCTTGCTATAACCAAATTTTAAAATCTTAAAAAAAGAAAAGAAAAGAAAAAGAGATATGGCCTTTTTCAGTTGTTCTCCCTTTCTAGGACAGATCTTACCATAGAGATTCTGCTCTGACATAAAGCATTCTCAGCCCAACATTTTCTTGTTCACTATGAACAAGCACTTGGATATTGCACCACAGCTTAACATAGAGAAATACTGAAAGGGACTTCAGCTTTCCATAGAGAAAAATGCTGTCATCTTCATACTGTGTAACCAAACAGTCTGCTTGGTGCAGCAATGGGGGATTCCACTCCTGCTTTGACAACTATCATGGAACCCCATTGTAATATCTAAAGACTTTGCAACCAAATGGTTGTTTCTGATTGCTTTGCTTATTTGGATTTGGGATTTTGAAACATCAAGCATGTTTTACTGTTCAACCTGACAAGCAGAAATCTTCTACTTATCACCTTCTTCTCAAGCAAAAGCAGTTTGTACAGTTTTAAGGATTTCTCATTAAAGAATCAGCATGATCAAAGTATGCAGAGTAATTAATTGATGTGTTAAGAAAGGTGAACTAATAAGAGCATATTGCAGAGATCTGAAGAAATTTTAAAATATCTGTCCAGTCAGCCGTCCAAAGCTTCTGGAAACATGGGGGCAGAGCTACTGCAGCCATTGAAAAGAGTATGGGAATTGGTAAGCAGAGGCAGGAATGATCTAGGGTTTGTTTCTTTTTCCCTTCAGCTGTTACAGAAACAGGAATCTGAATGGGTGGAAAACCTACTGTCATCAACACGGTGCTTCCTCTGCTGATGGAGAGCACCCATATTCAGGTCTTGGTCCTGACTTGCTGGGAATGTGTGTTGGACACCACAGATAAAAGGATTTATCATGAAGGAACACTACAGTGTGAGCAGCTGGAGTGGATAGCTTAATTCACAGAACATGGAGGCTTCATCAACAACATGAATTTAGGAATCTTTGGAGAGACTAATTTGGCTGAACTGAGGACTAGACTTTAGGATGCAGAGGAACCTGCAATGTCCAAAGGAGGAAACTGGTTGTTCCTTGCAACAGATTGTTCTCCCGCATTCAAGTCCTATCCCCATTAAGCTGAAGAATCCTCGAGTCACCCAAAAACTAAAGAAAAGAAAAATCCCAAACATCTGAGAAAGAAGAGGACGCAGACTGTCCTTGGGTCTAGAAGGCTTATAAGTGCATATACACGTTTGACTGAGAAGTGAAAGATGTGGCTGTTGATGATTAGAGAAAGCCTTTGAGACATACAAAACCAGTAGTTTAGTCAACAATTAAGAGAGATTGCGTGCCTGAAAAAAAGATCCACTCGCACAGGTTGATGAGGTTTGTCTTTGCATTTGACTCCTCCCTGCCTTGTGTTGGTTTCTCATGGGAATATTAACAAGGTCAGATATGTGACATGCCATAGGCAAACTGAAACAAATTACATGTACTGAGAAGTACTCAGCTTTTTGTTTTTGGGGTTTTTTTGTCTACTATGTAAATATGTTGCTACACTGACAATAGCAATAATGTTAATAACTTCCTTCTATTTCAAGCAATCCCCATCAGATCCTCCAGTTCCAGTATTGGGGGTTTTTAAGTCTTTAAAAGGTTGTCCTCTGACCTGCAATGCATTCTGCAGAGCTGATAAAGAGAAGGCTGTATGCTGCTCATATTACAAACACTTCCAAGCAATTGAGTAATTGCATATTATATGTGTATGAAAAAACAAGGTGGTCACTATGGTGTTTTGAACTCTAACTGCATTTTTTTCAGAGGAAGAGAGTTCTACATTCTCAGAAAGTCATGCTATTTGCACTATGGTCTCTGCTCTCTAAGTGCTTCATAAAACGATTGCCTCAACCCACCAGTAATGGATTATAGATTAAGCAGAAACGAAAGGGCACAGGATTGTTCTTTCATGTTGTCTCCCAATTTATTTTGCTTAAGCAATAGATAATAATTGACAGAAGCAAATGAAGAGTCACAGTTTGATTTGCCTTTTTTAACTAGGAGGCTGCACTAGGTTGTCTTTATGTTATTTTTTGTTCTGTGATCATTTGGGGTTTGGAGTAGAGTCATTATGTTCTTACTGACATTCCAGTGGACAATTGCAAGCCGGTCCCACTGCATTTCTCTGTAGTCCTGCTCTTGGAATGGATTTCAATAGGCAGCACTTCTGAGGTGGGGCAAAGTGACTTTAAACCTCAGAGTTTTAAATGTGATGTTCTGTTTGATTTTATTTTTTTTATATTTTTTTACCTTTAGCATTCATATGACAAAATGGGAAAAATATCTTTTGTCAGTGTGACCTGTCTTGAGAACATTTAAAAAGCTCCAAATCCATGCATAAAACATCTGAGAAGTTTTCCATTAGAGCAGGGAAGAAGGCTCTTAATGTTGCTAATATTTATTATCAGCAGGGAAACAGGAAAAAAAGCGCGTTTGAAAAATTCAATTCAGCATTTCTTAAGCCTCCCTCATGCATATTATAGATTTTTCTTTCCTTAAAGTATGAATGAAGTAGGGAATTAATGAAGTCAGTGAAAGTGTTCGATGTTGGAGGCTCTTCAAATTTCAGAGGAAGAAAGCCAGGCTGTGTTTATGTTGGTACTCTTAGTGCTCGTGGAAAAAAATCAGTAATTGTGGCACTAGGAATAACTGCTTCTGCTTGTCCCCTTCTTGAGCTTTGCTAGTCTTGCTATTATCTCTCTATTCCTATGCATCCTTATGTTTTTATTCCATGATTCTTCACTCCCTCAGGAAGTATTTCTCAGCCCTTTACAGTGGTAAAATTGGAAGGAACATAGGATTCAAAAGGAATTTTTTGGGTCATGTGTTGGCGGATGAGAAACTCAACATGACCTGGCAATCATTTGCATCCGAGAAGGCCAACAGCTTCCTGGACAGCACTAAAAGGATTGTGGCTAGCAGGGAAGAGAGATGGTTCTCCCCCTCTACTTCATCCTTGTGAGACCCCACCTGGAGTACTGTGTCCAGCTCTGAGGTCCTCAGCACAGGAAAGATGTGGACCTGTTGGAGTGGGTCCAGAAAAAGGCCATGAAGATGATCAGAGGGCTGGAGCACTTCTGTGAAAGCAGGCTGAGAGAGATGAAGTTGTTCATTCTGCGGAAGAGAAGGGTCTAGGGAGACCTTACAGCAGCCTTTCAGCACTTAAATGGGGGCTACTTAAAGAGAGCTGGAGAGGGACTTTTTACAAAGGCTAGTAGTGGTAGGACAAGGGGAAATTGGCTTTAAACTGAAAGAGGGTTGATTCAGAGATTTTAGTAAAGTTGTGGATGTCCCATCCGTGAAAGTGTTCAAGGCCAGGTTGGATGGGACTTTGGGCAACCTGGTCTAGTGAAAGGTGCCCCTGCCCATGGCAGGAGGTTGAAACGGGATGATTTTCAAGGTCCCTTCCAACCCAGGCCATTCTAGGATTCAATGATAATTTGATTTAACTTCTTCCCTTAAACTTTAACTTCTTCCCAATTAAAATGTATTTCAATTCAGCAGGTGTAGCAGGTGTTGTTTCATTCTCTGTTTAGGTGGTTGAAGATATCTTCAACAGCTGCTGCAACAGGAAGTCTTCTCAATATTTGTCTCCCTTGGGATGACTCTTGCAGGATCTAATCTACATGAAACCAGTTCCCTGCCTTTGAATACAGGTGGAGAACTGCTAAATACAAAATTGTGGTTAGTAGAGCATCAGACCAATTTGCTTCATAATATAAAAATTCTAAAACATTTATTTAATATTAAATATTATTTAAATAATATTTAAATATTTAATATTTAAATAAAACTTTGTTTTGTGTAGTGTAAAGTGTTCACAGAAGAGTTACAACGAACGTTAAATTCTTTGCTATATAGCTGAGTGTAACTCTCACAAATGTCTATTAATTTAAAATTGATTGTTTTGTTCAGAAATCAAAGATCCAGGACATGTTGAAAGCTGAGAATATGAGACAGTACAGTATAAAATAATTTGAAAGCGAGCAAATATATTGAGAGCATTTATCTTACAATTTTTTTTCATTAAAAATGTTAACAGAAGCTACTACAGGACTTAGAGAATTTTTGTAGGAGTACAGTAGAGTACAGGGTGTTGAATCCAGGTTAAATTTCATTCTGTCTCCAAGGAGTATTTACTGTAGCATAAAGTAAAACATTCTCAGTTTCATTTACCTATTTTCATTCCTTCATAATCCCTTCAAAGAGAATAAATATTTGTATCTGGTATTTCAAACACAAAACCAAAGCATTTTAGAATGCTTTATAGTAATGTCACCCACCCCCAACCAAATAACTTCCATATACATTTGGTAAACTCTTGTTCTGCCTACATCAACAGTATGGCTCCAGCTGAATTCAGCAGAGTCAGAAATATGTCCAATTAATCTTTTTCCTTTAGACAATTTCATACATTTTCTTTAGCATGTTAAGGGTGAAAATTATTTAGAAGTATTAGACACAAATTTAAATGAAACATATTTTAAAAATGATTACTTTATGCAAAACATTTGGCCTTCTTCAGCAACAGATTTTTTTTTTTTAAATTTCTAGCTGTTTTTTTAATAAATACAGATTTCAACAAGTCTATTAGAGCGAACTGGAAATCTTAATTCTTAGAATTTAGGATTACATAATGATGTGACTGGGACTATTTTCTTGTGACAAAACATAGAACATTTAGATTCTGCTTGAGTTACTCAATGTTTGTTACTATTTTGGCAGATTATTAAAATTAAACATGGATATTATTCGGTGCTTAAGTCACCTTTTAGGTATTACTTAGTGCATATTGAGTGCCTTTGTAATACAAGACAGACCTGTACTTGACTGTAAGCACACAATCAGCCAAAGTGACTGCAACAAAAATTATCACGCAAATGAATTCTTAAAATATCTTGATGAGTCATGGAGACAGTTTATTTTCCTATCAGTCTAAAAATATAACCTAGCTGGTTCTGATTACATCTGAGAATTTTAAGTGAGTACTTTCTTTACAATCTTTGCAATCAGGAAATTTAATATCAGGAAGGAATTAATGCCTCCTTTCAATGCATCAACTAATTTAAAAATTGTCTATGAATAAAACACCAACATGTGGCTAAACCGTTGAAAAGATCAGTAAAAGTATACATTTTTTAATCCTCTGAGCTATGCTGAAGTAGGAGAATTTGTATAGATATTCAAACAGGGGTACATGGTATTGTAGTGTGTACGGCCTAGATTGCTACAGAATTTTTATTTATTTTATTTTGTCTTTGAATATCTAAAACCAAGCTTAACCTCACAGATATGTTGTTTTCTCTCCACTCAGAATAGTTCAGCATAGTAAAACTTAAAGCGTTAACCAAGGAAGAAGATTCCAGGATGCTCCTGTCACAGAAAAGTAATTTTCTTTATCCTAAAACACTTTTTTTCGACATGTGGAAGTTTTTAGCTAGATGCAGAAAAAAATTTCTTCTTTTTTAGCAGATCTCTGTGGGATTACTGTGGTTTCACAGCAGGAAGATGAAGTGACATATGTATTATCTGTTCTCTGCTCAGCTGTTTTTCCTTCCTAGAAAAGAAATAGCAGATAGAACTCCTTAGGGAAAGAAACAGCGTTATGGACAAGGTGGGTTAATACATTAACCCACTGATTACCAGTTTCACAGAGGGATACCAGTAGCAGAACGAAAACCAAACCCACCAAAGCAGTTTGTTGTGTTGCATGACCAACTTGCTCACTGTCTGGCATTAACAATATTTCAATCTCCAGAAACTAGGAAAAAAAAAATCAACGTCAATTATTCATGATATTTCTGAAAATTGAGGAAGAAAATTAGATTGTGTTATGGGTAATGAACCTGGTAAATAAAGCTGAGGAAACACAGTGCAACAAGTTAAGAGGATTGGGTGAATTTTAGCATTAATGGATGGTTCATGGCCACGCGATGGCAGCAGAGGCTGAGGAATTAGGGTTGTTTTTGACTATAAACTACGGATACACCGGATATGCCCTGAAGTTCTTAACTGGTACTTCAGGTTCCAGAAAATTACATCATGTACATTATGTACATTTTCATTTTAAAAGATGTGGCATGTTCATCAGACCAGAAGTTTCTGTGGAGAGGGGTTACATACTTTTCTTTTAAAAAAGCCCACAAAAATGAAAGACAAATACATTTGGGGCAATTTTTTTTTTTACAGTAAAACCGTATTTTTCATCTCATTTGCCAATAATTCCATCTTTCTTCCTCACTTATTGAGTTAGTTCCACCCAGAAGAGTGGGTGTACTTCGATAAAAACAAGGCAGTTGCTTACTTTTTCCTAATTTCTTTTCCTGATACTTTTGTCCACAGGAAAAAACTCCATTATAAAACCCCCTTTGGGGAAACCATAAAATTAAAATCTAGAATGCCTTCATTTTTCAAGGGGAGGACTAAAAAAACTTGCTTGTTGAACTGAGGAGGCAGAATTTTTGGACTCAGAGCAGTATAAATAATTAAGCTCTTTGTATTTTAAAAAGAAAACTACAATCTTCTCATTATATGTAAACTAGATGCTCTTTCTCAACTCCTAGGAAACTATTTATGTATGCCCTTCATATGAAAAATTATAAGAATTCAGGGTTTGTGCAAGATAGTAAACAAAACCTCAGAACACCACAAGTTAAAAATTATCTTTCCGAGAAGTTGAGATTTTTTTCTTCTGAAATGTATAAAAGCAGGCCTTTGACATGGAATTCTCTACTGGAATAGGCACAGTTCCCTTTCTGCATTGTGTGTTCCAGATCCTACACTACAGGTTTGGGTTTAATCAAAAAAGACAGTCCAGAACTTCTACCAGAGTCTCTCTTCAATCCATGCAAATACTTATATTACGATTTTCTGCTGGAGCATGACATTTTACAGAACTCAAAGGCAACCAGGTAGAGTTTAGGCAAGCAGCCTTCTGGAACAGCTTAGATGGATAGGATCATAGACTGGATGTCCTCCAAGGTCCTATTTCTTGTGACTCTCTGAAGGTTGTCTTGAGGGCTGCCCTACCCTCTAGGAGGGTAGCAGCTGCTCTTACAAAAAGTCAGTATGCTCTCCAACAATAACAAGATGTTTACAGGGATGTCATTAGGGTATGCACAGCACTGAATTCTGCATAAACCAGAGGTCTTCTCTCTTGGCCTCTCACTGGATTGCTCTAATATGGCAGGAAGTGGTGAGGAAGACCATAATCACCAGCTGGAGGATGGCATGACTCAGCAATATACATAATTTTGGGTAGCCAGAAGGGAACTCTGTTCAGTAGCTCATTTTGGGCATCCAGATTCCTGCACTGAATGCATGTGAATGAGTCTTTGCAATTGCAGGCCAGTATGCCTAAAGCTCTCTGGACTTCCTTCCTCCAGCCTGGGATTCAACTGCTCTGTCCCGACAACCCGAGGTGTTCCAGGCAAGCCCTGCCTCACAGGGCAGGCAGCAGCACTGTTCAGGTAAATCTGGCCTTTGGCAGGTGAGCTTCTGCTGCAGCAGCTTAAGGCATTACTGCTCTGCCAGTCTGCCCTGGTGGCCTCCTCCTATAACAGGAACAGTGGGAGAAAACTACCTAGTCCTATTCCTCTACTGGTGCTAGGTTTGAGGAGGGTTATGAGCAAGCATGATTTCTAGACTGTAGACCCACAAAGCAAAGAAAGCAAAGGAAAAAAAAACCATCTCCTAACTTTAGTAGTGAGGTTTTACATGGCATTTCCCCCCCACAATCTGAGGACTGACAGATTAAATTACCTGGAGTATTTCCATCCTTCTGTGAATCTCAAATAATCTTCAGGTGCTTACTCAGAATTAGATTCTGTTAGAATCAATTAGAATAATTGTTATTATTCTAGTACGAATGCTGATATATATTCTTGTGGCTGCTACCAGAAGAATATCATAAAGGATGACTAAATGCCCAACTTGACAAATAAATCTGTCCCCAAAGCTATATCTTTTTCCATTCTCTGTTGTCACTTTTTAAATCTCCATCTGAAACTGGTATTTATGGGTTATCTTGAAGGCTAATTCAAATAAAAGGTTTAAGAGCTAAATACCCTTTTTTTCTTACTGGCTGGTTAAAAACCAAGCAGGTCCACAGAATATATAATATAATGTTTGATTCAAAGAGATAACATTGTAAAATATTTGGGATTCTGGAAAACCTAATCATGTAGCCAGTGAGAATTTTGCAAGTTCCACAACTTTGTGGCCGTATAGGGCTAGAAATGACAGGAGATTAGAGTGCAGAAATCAGTCATGTAAGCATTGGCAAGTGAATATATCGGATCAGTCTATCCAGTCTTTATTTTCCACCACACAAATAAAATGGGACAAGCCTCTGTATTTTGAGCAACGGAGGACTTTAGGGGAACATTCACATTCAGTCCAAGAGATGCTGGCTTCCAGTTATTACCTATATTGTTGTTTGTCTAAGACACCTCTGAAATAATCCAGGCATCTTTAGAGATTTTGTTTTTTGCAAGTAAATCATCTGATAGAAAAAGCAGGTGAGTAGGAGGACACGCAGGGGATTTTGTGATAGACAGAGCATGAGTCGTCAGTAGGATTATCAGGAGAGAAGAAGCTCCAGGATAGTATCTACCCACGTGCATGGCTGCTGAACTGCAGCAGCAGCAGCAGACTCTCTTGTGGTCTGTAATTTAGGAGATATCCTTCTTGGAAAAATAAATGTAACTCTTCAGATTCTCTCCAGGAGAACTAATTCCGATCTCAGACTTTGATGGGATTTTCTGGCATACATTTTTTATCCAACTGTATCAAAGAGTAATCAAAAAAACGGGCCCTGGGTTATCCTTAGATATGCATGAACCAAGGCATGAAAAAGTAGAATGAGGCAGGTGGGAAAATTATGCCCATAAGAGCCTAGATAGATCCTTTGATAAACCAAGAACTGTCCAGAATTTCTGGGAAATTCTGCCATGCACCAGTGCAATAAGCTAGCACAAACTGTGGGTACCTTTACTATGAGGAGAAGCATATGCTAAAAAACCACACTGCCTGGCAATTGCATGCTCCTCTAGGGTGGTATCTGTGAAGTTCTGAGGTTTTCACTGCAGAAGCAGAAATTGGACACTGCTTGGGATCGCCCATTGTCAGGATACAATTTCATGTTTAAGGCAGCATTCTTTAGCCTTAGCATGGGTTAGGAAGGAATGAATTATGTGCGGAATGTGGTGGTAGTCTGGTGGTTACATGTTCATACTCTTCTCTGCTATACATGTGGTAAAAAACTACACAAAAGAAGTTAGAAAATGATCTCATAGATTCTTCTAGCCATAATAATAACTACAAAGGTAGAAGAAAGCATAGAAACAGTAAAAATACCCAGGACGCAATGGTAGCTGGGCTGGGTTTTATCAGCCAATACCTGATGACTAAAAAATGGTTTTCTTTTGTCTAGTTTATACTTGTCTGTCCTTTAAGATGGATGCTTTTAAAAAGGCGGCACAGAACATGGTTAGAGAGAGACAAAACAATTAGAGGACCCTTTTAAAAATGAAGAATCAGATTCTGTAAAAGATTAGTGAGGATATGTGCAGTTAAAGGAAATTCTTGAGTATCATGAAGCTAATGAAGAGGGTAGTTGATTAAGAATTGCATTGCAGGTATGTGCTTGACCTTTGAGCAGGTACATCATCCAGGAGGGATGCCCCAAAGTGGGAAGGGCAGGTGGAGGTACCAGTTCCTCCCTTTGGCTGACTTGGGCACCTGAATACCAGTTAAAAATGCCCCTGAGCTACAGAAGTACAGCCCCCCCAGACTCACTCACCTCAGTAGGAATGCAAGACTTGTGCCCACAGTTTGAAAAGAAAATGGGATTTCAGGACACAGAAGTAACTAAAAAAACACTACACAGATTTAGAATCACAGAATTGCAGAATCATAGAATGGTTTGGGTTGGAAGAGACCTTAAAGATCATCTCGTTCCAGCCTGCCCTGCTATGGGCAGGGACACCTTCCACTACACCAGGTTGCTCAAAGTCCCATCAAGCCTGGCCTCGAACACTCCCAGGGATTGGGCATTCTCAGCTTTTCTGGGCAACCTGTTCCAGTGCCTCACTACCCTCACATGAAGAATTTCTTCCTCATATCCAACCTAAACCTGCCCTCTTTCAGTTTAAAGCTTGCTATGGGTAGGGACACCTTTCACTAGACCAGGTTGTTCAGAGCCCCATCCATTTACCTAAGCTAGACCGCGCACGGCTTCGTTGATATAATTTAATTGAAAATCCCTCTGCCACTGTAGGAGAGGCGATACGAGCAACTT